CCCCAAAACCCCAAAACCCCAAAACCCCAAAACCCCTTTTATACAAAGAAGAATTGAAACAAATAAATAAACTTTGCTAAATGAATGCTCTTTATTTCCCAGAAAATGTCAAAGAACTCGAATGATTGCTAAAAATGCCTCAATGAAAGAAAGAAGGTACAAAATCTGAAGAAATCTCTCCTATTACAAAGGACAAGCAATTAGACTTCTCCCACACCTTGAAAGAAACGAAAGACTTAAAAATATCTTCAAAAAGAGGGTTTCCTATCAGCTGATCAAGCCAAGAGGAATGAAATAGTCTTGATCAAGTAAAAATGTACCAGAGTGCTCTCACACCTAATAAGGCACCTAAAAATAAGCTTAGAAGAATGGAATGGAGGCTAAGAAGGCTTCAAGTAATTGACGACTTCTAAATTATTTAAAGTACATTAATTCCTTGTAATTTTTAAGCCTAAGCCTTGTCATGCTCTTACCTTTGTGCCTGAAGAAGTCTCATTTCATTCTCTAGAGAATAGCTAAGGCTAGTAAATTCCACTATTTCTTAAAAAGAGAGTGCATTATTTTACGATTTATGTATTATCTCTAATATTTCCAAAGTTGGAAGAATTCTTAGTACCTATCTATAAATCACCGATTATTGTTATAAACCGACTTCTGCCTACCATCCTTTGTTTGGAGCAACAATTGAGAAAGTTATTGCCTAAAATCTTAGTTTTATAAAAACTCTGCTGAGCTTCGCCTAATATCCAGAGCCTGCTCAAACTGCTTTGTAATTCATTGGGCACTCTGACAGATGGCTGCTAGTTGTATATTTTACTAGTCTCTTCATATCTGATTATTAATTCCTATATTTCTCAAGTTCAAAGTCAGGGATTTGTGGTATCTCTCGCATTCAAATTCTCTATGGGCCTCATAACTCTGATTATTCATACCTAGTGGAGCATCCCGAATTGTTTCAGAAAAGGTAGCAGTGTCAGATTTAAAACAATTTTCTAGCCAAAAATAGGTGGGGGAAACCCTCAAGGAGGACATATCCGGTCTGTATAAAATTCCAAAAATTCTATTTCTCAAATAAGTTATAATAATTAAGTGCACCTTTTGATTATAAAACTTTGAGACTTAGAAAATAGCTTAGAAGGAGTTCCTAATAATTCCAATTTTGCAGTTTTCCTTTACTTTACTTTTACTGTAATTTTAAGTTTTCTTACTCAGGCTCATTACCTATGAAAGCTCAGCTCCTTATTTGAAGAACTGCAGGACTTTCTAAAAATGAGAACAAATGAGCAACTATTTTTCTCCAATCAGAGTTCTAAGCCTGGATATTGGGCAAGCAATAAGTAGAAGTTTCCGAGAAATAGCTATGATTTAGGGCTTCAAAGGTAAGTCAGTATGAGCCTAAACCAGGTCTCTCTTAAGAGATAGCCCAGAATTTAAGTTTTGGGATATTTTTACAATAACAATGCATTTTTATTTCTTTTGAAAACTTTGATTTATTCTTGAGTTTGGGCTTGCCTTGCTTGTCATTACAACAAATAGTCTTCTCACAATAATTATTTCTAATAGAGTCATGGTCTGGGAATATTTTCAACCTGGAATATTACATTTGGGGTTTTGGGGTTTTGGGGTTTTGGGGTTTTGGGG